ATTTTTCTATTGCCTTGGCTACTCCACTGCTCTGTCCGTTTTATCAAGGTTTGCCCTTTACTTAATATAAGCTGGTGTCCACCTATCTGTTTGTAAACTGGACCTGGGCTTTTCATCACTAAGATCACAGCAGTCTTTGCTTGGATGTGAGGGTATGGGAATGACTCTGAGGATGATACTCAGGAACCAAACTCTTGATCTGATCCGATCCCCGTTATCCGGGGAGTAGCCCGGCTAGCTCAGTCGGTAGAGCATGAGACTCTTAATCTCAGGGTCGTGGGTTCGAGCCCCACGTTGGGCGCTTTAAAATTTTTCTTTTTTCTTTTCCTACCATATCCGGAGAAGTAGTTCATAAGTGTTACTTAATTTAAAAGAAATAAATCCATTAGTTTGAATTTATTAAAACAGAAACATTTCAATATGTGTTTGTGAAATACCAAACCGCGAGTGGTAAATTCTTACTATGTCTTTAAGCTGTGCTTCACACGTGGTTTAGATATGGATCCCAAAGGTTGATCCTGTTCATCTGTTTCTCCCACTGAAAATGCTACATGCAGATGAACAACATCAACCTTTTGTGATTTATTTACCTGAATGATTGAGTATGCATCAAGATGTTTGAATTCAAAATACATCTCAAGCAGTTACATGCAGGATACCTTTCCTTGTCTCAGTGTTTCTGATTCCAGCTCTCCCCCGTTGCATTACAAACATCTATAATCTTCTATTTTAAGTAAGGCTGGAATAAAATGAGACGTCCCTGGGTGGGCTCGAACCACCAACCTTTCGGTTAACAGCCGAACGCGCTAACCGATTGCGCCACAGAGACGACATGGCACAGCCCTCGTCGTTTCCCTCCGCCGGTTGTTGAGCGCACACACAGCAATACTGTGTCAAAGCCAGTGCGGGGTCACGTATTGTCTCTGTGGCGCAATCGGTTTGCGCGTTCGGCTACTAACGAAAGGTTGGTGGTTCGAGCCCACTCAGGGACGATGACTACTCCCTGTTTTTGTGACAAGACAAGCAAACACGGGAAAATAAAAATGGAGGAAGGCCACAAGCGCTCAAGTGAGGGGGATGGGCAGCAGCAGAAAGGGAAGGCAGGAGACTGCAGTTTCTCTGTACTTACTGTTCAAATTTAAAACTGGCAACTCACACTGGATAGTAAAAGCAGAAATACAGTATTTCTGTAATTGTAGAGTAATTATCTATATTGTGAATAATGTTTTACAAGGGGGGAAAAGGGTGGGGGTTCAGAAATTACTACAAAGCTTTGTAAAGTTGCATTAACCCAAAGACATGAAGAAAAAGAAAGAAAAAACAACAAATAAACTTGTCGTCCCTGGGTGGGCTCGAACCACCAACCTTTCGGTTAACAGCCGAACGCGCTAACCGATTGCGCCACAGAGACTACATGGAAGGGATCACGGAGGGACTAATTTTGAAAGTTACAAGGGGTAGTATATAGCTTTTTTTTAATATTCTTCAGTTTTTTCAAACATGGAAGACAGATCATGCTGTCAATGAAGAAAAAAAATTTCAGGTGATGACACCTGGGATTGAAAATGTTGCGCCCAACGTGGGGCTCGAACCCACGACCCTGAGATTAAGAGTCTCATGCTCTACCGACTGAGCTAGCCGGGCTAATGATTATTGACACAGTAGACTAAGTTTTATGAATTTACACATGGATAGTGTGTTTATGCATGTGTTTATCCATGTGCTGCCATTCCTTCCAATCACGCCCATCCAAGTTTCACTGTAGTTGCCCATGTGAACATTGAAGTCTTCCAGTAGAACAACAGTCACCAGATGAGGTGCTCTCCAGCACCCCACTCAGTTACTCCAAGAAGGCTGGGTACTCTGAACTGTTGTTTGGCGCATAAGTACTAACAACAGTCAGGACCCATTTCCCAACCCGAAGGCGGAGGTAAGTGACCCTCTTGTCCACTTTTGAAATGCGCTGTTAAAAAAAGGGACCACTGTGATCCGTTAACATCTTTTGCAGTGACATCTCTGCTTTTAAGATTAGGCTTAAAACTTTCCTTTTTTGCTAAAGCATATAGTTAGGGCTGGATCAGGTGATCCTGAATCCTCCCTTAGTTATGCTGCAATAGACGTAGGCTGCGGGGGATTCCCATGATGCATTGAGTTTTTCCTTTCCAGTTACCTTTCTCACTCACTATGTATTAATAAACCTCTCTGCATTGAATCGTACCTGCTATTAATCTCTGTCTCTCTTCCACAGCGTGTCTTTATCCTGTTTGCCTTCTGCCATCTGCAGCGACCGGCTGCCCCTCCCTGAGCCTGCTTCTGCCGGAGTTTTCTTCCCGTTAAAAGGGAGTTTTTCCTTCCCACTGTCGCCAAATTGCCTGCTCATAGGGGGTGAAATTATTGCTGTGTTTTTCTCTATATCTATTATTGTATGATCTACTGTACAATATAAAGCGCCTTGAGGTGACTGTTGTTGTGATTTAACGCTATATAAATAAAATTGAATTGAATTGACATGTTTTTAAATCATATTTATCATTGTTGTTATCAGTGTTTTTCTTCTTCCTTGTCTGTTTTGATATAACGTGTAATGTTATGTAAGATGCAAGGTGTCTTAAGCCATGATTGTTTATTAAAGTATATGATAAATGCTTTCAAATGCCTTTGTTATTAGCTTTTGACGTTTTCCACTAATCTGTTCTCAAATTTAAAATTTACACGTGTGAAAGGTCAAATTTTAGTGTATCACGCCAATTTAACGTGACTGTAAAAGCTAGCTAAAACTGCAAGTTTACGGTGTCGCATCTACGTGGCAGCCTTCAGTCACCAGTTATTAACCTGACATTAACATTAGCATTGTTTTCCAACAAACTCTAAACAGTTCAACTGAAACACGTCACTAAATTCTTCTATGTTCTCCATAATCTTACCTTAAGGTTTGGCTTGATGTTACAAGTTAACTCCGCTAGTTGGCTGAAAACTCAAACTTGAGCTTACCGACTTTCACGCCCTCGGTGCGGGTGTTTATTTGCCATACAGGAAATAAACGACAAATACAAAATAATAATAAAAGAAAGGTAGGGGAAACCACTTCACCTTGGTTAATAATTTATTTGTTTAACAAGGTTTACCGACACTTAATAACAGGCTGACACCTTCTCATCAAGCACGTTTTCCTCTGTTCGCGGAGGAGGATTAATGCAAGGGTACAGCATGGTAAAGAGTCCTAAACTACGTCTTTTGCGAAATATTGTCCGGGGACCACCACCGGCCAGAGGGCCACTTTGGATCCGCCCGGCCATGTCATAAATAAAAGCAGCATAATGTTATTGAATGGCAAAGCAAATGACTGCACGTGCGCACCAAGGTTTAACTTGTTTACCACAGAAAGCGTGCAACATGTCACGATTCCTCTGTGCATCAGCTAAGTATGTTTTCTTTATGGTGTGCATTTTAATTATCTGTAATCCTGTCTGCGCCTTTTAACATCAGTCCAGTGACTAAATGGTCTTGGGAAGATGACCGTCTCTGATGCTCCACATGAAGCATACAGGACCAATACAATGCAGTGAAATGAAGTAGTAGTGCTAATAAACTGGGGTTTTAGGACAGTGGGTCAGTACTACTAACTAACATTTGTTTGTTTGGTTTAAGTTTGGCCGGCAGCTGTGATGTTTGAAGACATATCTTTTAATAAAATCAAGTTAAATCAAGCGATGTAATGTGTATCTGCAATAAAAACACATTATCTTCAGAGTCAGGGACAGAACTTCATTTAGAGTTTGCCCATGCGCAGAAAGCACTGCCAGATGGCGCTATCCGCTACAGTAAACCCCGAGGATGAAAGAGGAGACTGGGAGTGTTTTACAGCCAGCTTTGACTGTCACTCTTTTGCAGCACATAGAGTAGAGAGGAACGTTTCTGCTTTTGCACCACCGCCTTTTTCGCTTTTGTAAAATATAGACTTGGAAGCGCAACACCCGCAGCCGCACCACGTGACCAAATGCGGAAATCATCCGACTGAGGAAAGTAGAACAGGAGGCGAGAGGTGAGGGTTTGGTGCCCGCCTGATTTTCAGAGGCTGTTGCTGCTGCTGCTGCTACGTGTTTCGGAGAAGGTTTCCACTTAACCCCACGGTTAAATGTACGATTTCCGTATGGTGTGAGTAAAGGTAAGCAACAAGGAAGCAAAACAAAAGAAAGCCCCGACCGTTTGTGAAACGCGGTAACTTTTTAAGAGGAAAGCAACAAACCACCTGGCTGGTTGGCTGGATGAGGAGGGAGTCTTTGTGTAGACAGACGTGCAATTGTAGTAATTGTCGATGCTGCACGCTTTACTCACTGTGACGACTGTGTGATAATTCTAGTGTTACTACAAAGACGTGCACCAGAGAAACTAACAGAGCCCTTTATTTGTGACCTCACCTCTGCACATTTAGCTCCTAATGCTTCATGTTTCGTGCAAAAGTAATTCTTGCTTCTTCTTCCACTTGTACTTTCTTTGTTGCTCTGCAGGAAAAGCTCGGGGAAAAACCAGCATGGCTGTGACTGAGTTTGGGTGTAAGAGTTTTAATGGTCTGCATTTAAAGCTGTATTCATAAAGCAACATAAAATCCATCAGCACAAATTTAGATGCTAGTGGTGCCTTTAAAAGTGATTAAATGAGACTTGACAGAGTCTTTGAAAGCTTCTGAGAGGTTAAAAAAAGAGTAGTCCTTTGAATAACTCGTACAAACACATAAAAGCTTAAGAAAATATCACTCACTGCCAGCTAAGCTGTCTCATATTTCAAATACCAATGTGGATTTGGCAAAACCAAAAACAAAACCAGTACCTAAATGTTCCCTAAATCAAGCGTACATTCACTTCATAATTCATGCATCAGTGTGATTTTGTGCTGTGGTGGCTTCCACGTGCAGCAAAAAGTGTGAGCGAGGTCCACAACTTCGGTTACGTAATAGTGTAGTCAGGACATGCTAACTATAAATATGTTATGGTTCCCGTTGCTGCCAGTTTGTGCCTGTTTTACAGGGTGCAAATCACCTCCTTAAAATAACAAGTACCTGTTGCTGCTCTCTGTGGCATCTGCAGTTTTAATTTATGGGCCGTGGTGCAGAGCTGTGACAGCATTGACGGTGACAAAGCCTGGCTGGGCTTAGTGGTTTAAATGAGGGGTCATGCATATAAATGAGGTTTGCCCTTTGAAGAAACAAGGCCTTGCAATTTCACAGGTTGAGTCAGTGTGGAAATACAGCAACAGGTGATGAGCCACAAAATTAAAACTGCTGAAGCAAATGGCATTGATTTATGTTATTGCAAGACAGTCTTTTGCAGGGAAAGTCTGGGGTTTATATGGATGTTACTTAACACCTACTAGGGCTGTGCGATATGACCAAAATCTCATATCCCGATATTAAGACATCTAT